GTTAGTCCAAATTATTTTAGAACAGTAAGAACCAATGGTAGAGACACACACATAGACACACGCACACCCCTATGTATAAGACAAACACTCGGCCTTAAAACTATGAGTGTTTTCAATATTGCAAGGAAATTCATTTTCAAGCAAGAAGAATTGAATTTACTTTCTGTATGAGGCAAGAAGAAGGTAAAAATACTTCTACCTGGCACACAGATATAAATTCCACTTTTCAGTTGTGTAAGGGCATTGCAAAGCACTGGAAGAGTTGAAATGTTCATCAGGCAAGAATTCCAGAAAAAGTAACGGTAGAAATATGGCATAGCAAGGGCATTACAGCATCCAGAGATTACTATATGTAAGTAAAAAAAAGATCACACCAATCCTGTTCAGAAAGCAATCTAGAAGACTTTGATAACAAAGGCTGCTCACCTGTGTGGTCCTCTTTGCTGCTGTGCTGCTGTGAGCTTTAACTCCTTTTATAAACATGCTTTCGAGTCCTCTCCTACCCTCTCTCAGACAACTGTTTGGTTTTGTGATATACTCAGCCTATGCCCAAGAACAGAGCATTTTCTCCCAAAACACCAAAGAGCAAAATTAGAAGCGTTTGTCGCACATCCTCATCTTCAGCAAAACTTGCTTTTTAGTCAGCACTCAGTGCTTTTAAATCTGCATCACTGTCACACAGCTAGCAGCGAACAAGAACCTCCACGGCCCGCCCAGCACTAACACGGACACCCATGTGCTCCAGGCAGAGGCTGGCAGGCAATAGGTGCGTACAGAGGCTTGCAGTCTGAGATGGAAGCACCACCAGAACTTTGCATAAAATACAAAGAGCTCACATGTTAATTTTTAAAAGAGCAATTTAGGAAAAGCATCACTTTCTTGGAAGCAGCATTCTGAGCAAGGTTTTTAGACATTATATAATGGAACTTCTAACTGCAAATTGCTATATACGGGCCATTTATGATGTTAAAATGGTGATATTCTGAGATTCTGTTGCTTACCAGACCTGAAAGTTCCATGCACCAACTAAAGCACTGACTAAAATGGAAACTTTGATTTCTGCTTTGTATTTTATTGTTCAAGTTCAGCATATACATCCTTGAATTCACAGATTCACAGAATATTTAAGGTTGGAAGGGACCTCTACAGATCATCTAGTCCAACCTTCCTGCTCAAGCAGGCACACCTACAGCATGTGGCACAGGGCGGCATCCAGGCAGGTTTTGAAGACCTCCAGAGTAGGAGACTCCACAACCTCCCTGGGCAGCCTGTTCCAGGGCTCTGTCACCCTAACAGTAAAGAAGTTGCTCCTCACCTGGAGACGGAACTTCTTATGCTTCAGCTTGTGGCCATTACCCCTCGTCCTATCGCTGGCCACCAGTGAGAACAGCTTGTCCCCTTCCTCCCTGCATTCTCCCTTCCTGAACTTATACATATTAATCATATCCCCTCTGAGCTGTCTCTTCTCCAGAGAAAACAGGCGCAGCTCACTCAGCCTCTCTTCATACGAGAGATGTTCCATTCCCTTAATCATCCTGGTTGCCCTTCTCTGGACCCTCTTGAGAAGCTCCACGTCCCTCTTACACTGGGGTGCCCAGAACTGAACACAGTACTCCAGGTGCGGCCTCACCAGAGCTGAGTAGAGGGGCAGAATCACCTCCCTCGACCTGCTGGCAACACTCCTCCTGATGCAGGCCAGGATCCCATTGGCCTTCTTGGCCACGAGGGCACACTGCTCACTCATGGTTAACTTGGTGTCAACCAGGACTCCCAGGTCCCTCTCCGTGGAGCTGCTTTCCAGCAGGTCGACCCCTAATCTGTACTGGTGCCTGGGGTTATTCCTGCCCAGGTGCAGGACCCTGCACTTGTCCTTATTGAACCTCATGAGGTTCCTCTCTGCCCAACTCTCCAGCCTGTCCAGGTCCCTCTGGATGGCAGCACAGCCCTCCGGAGTGTCGGCCACTCCACCCAGCTTGGTGTCATCTGCAAACTTGCTCAGGGTGCATTCCGTGCCCTCGTCCAGGTCATTGATGAACAAGTTGAACAGCACTGGGCCCAGCACTGATCCCTGGGGGACACCACTGGCCACAGGTCTCCAACTGGACTCGGCCCCATTTATCACCACCCTCTGAGCTCTGCCATCCAGCCAGCCCTCGATCCACTGCACCATGCACTCGTCTAGTCCACTGTCCCGGAGCTTCTGAATTATTTTGCTAGTGATCTATAATTGCCAATTATAAATTGTGGAATGCACATCTGTTCTCTTTCTGTCTTCTTCCTACCAGGATACATACAAATCCTTTCACAAATAATTCGTGGGATTTGAACAAAGGAAGGGAACTGACTATTCATGTGCAGCTGGTGGCCAGGTGGGCTGCTCTCTTTCCATGGCTCTTCTTTAGGGCTGACCTTACCTCTACTTACCTCCTAGGGCTTTTATCTTGCACCATCAACGTGGAGCCTCCCTGCCTCTTCAGGCAGCCAATATCAAGCTCTCCAGGTTGCCAAGAATATAGAGATGTCCTCCAAATGCAAATGCTAACTCTCTAGACTTGGTTTTAGATTGATACAAAAGCCTGCCTAGGATTCCTAAATTATGATGAATTTCAAAAGATTTAAAAATCTGTTCAAAATAGAGAAAAAATACTGTTCTTATTTTTTTTCATCTAATGCTAAATAAATGCTAAAAATTTTCGTGCTAAGTATCTTCTTTCACATCAACTCAGGACTAAAAATTATTGATTCAAATTAACTGCATACATTTTTAAAACGTCTTAGCAAAGCACTGTACATCACAACATTGCTTTGCCTGCCACACACAAGGACACAGATCCGGGTTTATGTAGAGAAGGAACTTCGAGTCTAGCTTGTCAAATGCACTGACAACTCTTAATATGACCCTGGTGGTCTTAAGGTCAACATCTGTTCCATCCAAAGCTCTCCAACATCCTAGTGCACACCAGAATATCTTCATGCATGGGAGAAAAAAACAGAGGAAACCCTCACACCAACACAGACAGAAAGAAAAACAACATACCACTCCCATCCCCCCTACTTCTCCAAACAAGTCAAAGTGCATTCACCTTTAATTTCTTGCAAGGTAATGACATGAATTACAGTCAAAGACAAGCAGCTAGGCCATCTCAACCATCCTTGGACTGTCAGAGGAATGACCAAGTAGTATATATTGTAGTAATTGATTTGGTACGAAAATACTGACGGATAGGATTCATTATAAGAGTACAGATCGTAACACACAAAATCCAAGTTATTTATTTTAGCTTTTAGCCTTACAGTTTGCAAATATACGTGCAGATCTTTGTAATGTTACAGACCAGCATGTAAATTTGCTTTAAATGGAAGATCATAGTTTGAATATTTCTCCCAGAACTTCAGTGCACAGCATTTGCTCAATATTAGGAAAACTTCAAGAGAGCAAATGCAGTAAAAACCTGAGCTGATGCTTTAGTTTGCAAGGGTGAGTTCCCAGAACCATGATGCAGTCCTAGAACATATTCCTAATCACCTGTGTGATCTGAGTATGGAGAAAAATAAAGCCCAACACTGAGATTCCTGCTAGTAGAGAGTTCTAAAAATAAGGTTAAATTGGATTAGCTCATTATGGAAACATAGTTGCTAATGATCAAACTAATTTGTTGTTATCTTAGACACTCAGTATTTGAAAGTGCAGTAACTATAGGAACTCAAGCTATACACCAAGTAATATCACAGAATTATCAAATTTCTTACTGAAGCGTTGGCCATCATTGGATGGAGAGAAAAACAAAAGGCTTTTTACCAGCTGCTAAATCTTTTGAAAAAGGAGGCACTTTTGCCATTCATAATTTACAAATTACTTTTAGAAAAATAGCTTGCATCAAGCCGTAAACATGAAATGGGCAATTTCATTAGGTTTTTTTTTTCTGCATCAATAAAAAGTGCTCTCTAACTCTATTTCCAAACTTAATGTGTCAGCTAATTTATTCTAGTAAAACTTCTAGCCATCCAACTGCAGGGGGAAACAATTTAACAGAACATGAAGCCTTTTAAGAAAATAAAAAGCAAACTTTCATCTTTTAATAACAAAAATGAATCACAAACTAGTATTCTACTCTACCTCTTCTGTCCAACATTAGCTATAAAACCACTATCTGCTATGCAAAGGACGTATTTTTTTTTTTAAATAATTTCTCAGTACTGTTTTTATCAACTTCTCTTGAATGCAAAAGATTAAGAATCCATTTTATGTACATATCTTACTCTGTAACAGTTTTATTTTTCTAGGACTCTTAAGAGTCCAGAGCAGCATTGCAAGCAATAAGAGGAGAAAACGCTGCATGAAGGAGCAAGAGACAGCAGTGATCTTTGCAGGGCAGAGTTTCTATGACCAGAAGCCTTTACTGCTTCCTTGGAAAGGTTGTGATCTCCAATTTAGCTCACAGCACAGCTCTGCATAACTGCTTATTCAACAGCAGTGTAAGCTGGTATTTTCGCCAAGGTTTCATATTTTGATATTATCAAAGTATTGTTCTTAAATGGTCCCAAACTTGAGAGATTCACAAAAAGAAAGAAAGAAAGAAAAAAACCCATTTCTTCCATATGACAGCCTGTGTTCAGTAGAGATCTCACTCACAATCCTTCTACAGAGTCTATGGGTTGGCTTTAGTTCACTTACTTTTACTGATGGAAATGAAATGTAGAATAGAAATTTGTCCAACTTGTCTCAAGTTTGTAATTTGATCTTCAGTGCTTTTACTGACAGAAAAGCCAATAAGGCTATTCCCTGTCTTATTGGGAGAAACACAACACTAATTTGCAGTCACACAGCATATATTTTGATTTCAGACAGACATTTTGAGAGTTCCTAAAAGGTACTGAAAAAGTTTTGTACAAATCAGTGTAGGTACATTGAGAAGAGAATCTGGATCAACACACTCTAATTCAGTTACTTTTGGAAAGTTGAATTATCTAGGGAGCACACAAAAACAAAATAAACTTGCCTTCCATAAAGATCCGATTCCAGTAGATTTTTCCAACTTTATTTCCTCCAAGAAATATTAAGTTTGATAAAATCAACATTGAAGTGCAAACAGATGCCAGGACAGCATGAAGTCGACGATTAATTCCTGGTGAGAAGAAACGATCCTGAGGGGGAAAAAAAAGGGCAGATGTTAACAAATCCCTCTGATTTCAGAATAAAATGAGTGCAAGCAGTTTTAGAAGAACTATGACAGAAGAAATTATGAAAAAAAATATTTATACAGAAGTTCAAATCTTTATGGAGCATATCCTGAAGTTTTTAATAAATCTAATTGATTTTCCACTAATGCCATTAAAGTTTGGGTGGGATTTCTAATGAAAAATAGTTTTCAATCATAGATTCATTTAACAGGAGAGGCAGGAAGGGACCTTTGGAGATTGTCTTGTCCAACCTGCCTCCTAAAAACAGAATCAGCTCGAGCAGGCTGCTCAAGGCTGTGTCCAGATGGGCCTTGAATATCTCCACGGAGGGAGATGCCATAACCTGCCTGCGCAACATGCTTCAGTGTTCCAATACCCTCACAGTAAAAAAATATTTTTACTAATATTAAAGTGGATTTTTTTTGTATTTCAAATTATATCTTGTCACTTGTCCTTTCACTAGATACTAATAGAGCAGTGTCTGGATACTGCCTCCCACACCTACAAGAGGAAAAACCAAATGCCTTTGTGCCTTGGTAAGATCCTCCTTGAGCCTTCTCTTGGCTTGGCTGAACAGTTCCAATTTCTCAGGCTCTTCTTGCTCCAAGCCCTGCATCGTCTTCATGGCCCTTTGCTGAACTCACTTCCGTGCATCCATCTCTCCCTCGTACTGTGAAGCCCAGAATGGACACAGTTCTGTACAGTCCCTGTCTTAATTCTTTTTGCATTAAATATAGCCCTTGATGATTTGCTTGTAGGTGATGTTGAGCAATCACGCTTGCCTTGTATGGATAATACTGCCCAATAAGTTCCAATATGTCATAAAGCAAGCCAGTACAAAACTAACTGCATAAAACAAAGTCATTATTGCTTTGATTGAGTAATAAAACTTTACCAGAAGATTTCAGAATTAGATGAGAACTGGTTGTTGGAATGAGTCTGCTAACAAACAGATATTTCAGTATGAAAGTGGCATAAATAAACACGCCATATATTTTTTTCATTACAAATATTACTGTCCATATTTGAAAAGTATAAACACAAGCTGTAAAATTTTTGCTATTGTTGTCCTAATGATGCAAACAAGGTATTCTACCTCCATCATACACTACTTCATGCATCGGTATTTTACATTATCAGTTGAGGCAGGAGTGCAGCAGGGAAGCTGCAGGAAGGCAGTAAAAGAAGAGTGAGAAAGTTTTAGTCTCCTCCAATCTTCAATTGTTGAGTGAATTATAAAGACAGCATTAGAGCACATCATGGGAAATGCTTTCTGATTACTGCATAGAGAAAAATATCTTGTTCATCATGTCCCCAGGCTGAAAGCCTCTTTACATAGTTCCTGAATCTGCAAAAGACTGAGTGCCTCTTGTAAGGGGATGAAAATTTTCATGCTAGGGCATGGTCGCTAAGGACAATATAAGGAGGCTTCAGTCCTAAATGTTGATCTTGCAGCAAAAATAAAAGTCATGTTATTGCAGATTCAAAATATAAAAATAAAAAATAATAAAAAGGAGAGCAGAAATTAATCTTTAATAGCTGCAGCCAGACTAGAATTCATGCTGAGATACCTGAAACACTATATGCACAATGCTCAAAACAGATCTAAAAATGCACTCCTACAGAAAGGATTACACTGTTAGTTTTGTAAACATCAAAACAAAGGTTTCAAATGCTAGATTATAAAGTCATAAAACTTGAAATGAATGACAGCTACAAGCATAAATACACAATTTTAACACATTCTTGCATCTCTGGTAAAATGAATATTAGCCACAGTTGGAACTATATCTAATAGATGAATCAGTCTGCGTCAGCACAAGCACATGGATAGATAATCTGCAAGGAAAAATACTCTATCAATCTGTATATAAAAACAATAATAGTCAATTTTCCACACAACTTTGACAAAAACATTCATCTCTGAAAATGGATTGAGATTTTTTGCTACTAAAATTCTGGAGCAAAACTAGGGCATCACAAGGAAAGTGCACAGAATATAATATGATTATATAAATATTCATCAAGCACTGACAATTACTTAGTGAAATAACTTTTTCCATTCCTTCTATTCCACTTCCAAGATGTTCTCCTGCAGTTCTCAGGGAGGCAGAGGCTATTTCTCATGAAGTGAGCCGCAGGAATGTGCATCCCAATGGACCTGCATGCAAGCCTTTGCCGAATGCCTCTTGGATGGACACACGTACAAAATTCTCCAAGTCTTGCTATTGAATCCATGTTATTAAACACGGTCATTCTGACCTTTTGCGATGTGTAACCCAACTTTCTCTGTTCTTGCACGATGTTCTTTGAATTGGACTGAGCTCATCCACAGCGCATGACCTACCATCAGATCTGCTTTTCATTCTGGAATTGTCTATCAAGCCTACTTATCAACTGTACAGAGAAATGAATACTTTCAGCTAGAGGAGAAAAAGAAAAAAAGAGAGAGAATTTTCTTTTCTCTTACAGATGGACAATCCATCAGACAGCTACAATTGAACTGCATTTTCTGTTGAGATACTGATTAGATACTGATCTGGTAAGTCCAAGGTCTGCCTATTTTGCAATCTAAAGCACCATGACTAAGACAAACAGCATTACTAACTAAAAAGGCTCTGCCACATTTAAAACAAAAAAACCTAATACATTTAATAAAATAAAGCTGTTGAATTTAATACATCACTCTCTACCAAAGTGCTATACATTAAATAAGTTATCTATCGTACAGACCAGCAAAGCCCTTGGTCATTTATTAAGGTATAAGGGTATACTTTGAGAGAGAAACAGTTTACAAACAAACAACCATTTCAGGACTTGACTAGCAACTTCCATTAGCTTTGCTAGGTATTGATTCAAAAAGCAGCACAGATTTTCTTGAGAGGCTTTGATGTTACTGCAGTTTTTATTAAATTGCAACAAAGGTAAAAAAAATAAAAAAACTCTAAATACCTCATCAAAAAAAAAAAAAGTACCTAAGTGGGTATTGTGCTTAAGTTAATATACCTGAAGCATTTACACATGAAAAAAGACTGATGTTAGTTTAAATAATCAGTAATGACATCTGTGATTTAAGTAACTACCAGTGTGTATATTTTTCTGAACATACAGCAAGTTGTTTTCATCAAAGCAGACAAAAAAAAAGAAGTCCATACCTACAAGTTTTCATAATGCTATTTCATGCCATTCAGAATATGCTCCACTGCAACAATACGAGTTGCTGCACTCGGTTGTGTTGCTTTGCTGGAAGTTCCTGCTGTTTCTTTCTCCGTCTCCTTTTCTTTGTGTTGGAAATACAAAGCGGTAAAAGAGCACCTGGTGTCAAAAATGACAATGAAGCTGCGGCTGTCTAGCTGAAAGCCTTAGAGCTGCATTCCTCCTCAAAGCTCCATTTTATTTGTAATCTAGTATCAAGATTTCAGAATACTTCACTTCCACTAATCACCTTTTTTTTTTTTTTTTTTTCTGCTATGAAATAAATGGACTGGACATGGAGCACATGGAAACCAGACGTGTGGTCAGGATACTCGGTCTGGATGTGTGCTAAATACAAGTGTGTGATACAGCAGGTGACTTACGAAGACTGGCTCAGGCCACCTTCAGGCAGCTCAAGGGCAGCCCAGGCTGATAGTCGAGCCCAGCTCCTGCTGTGCATCCGTCTCAGGCAGAATTCGGCCGGATGCTGGGAAAGGCCTCCCTCTGCACACTGCTGGCTCGGTAAAATTGCCTCCCGCCAGATCCCCCTCCACTCAGCCTTCACAGGCACCTTACAAAAACAAAGGATGGCACCACCTAACAGGGTAAATAACCTTTTTGGTTACACCAGGTACCTTTTGTGTGAGTTTGAGAAACACACGAGAAGATAAGAGGAAAAATGATATGCAAGGACCAAAAATTCCCATTCCTGAATCCACTTCCTGTTACAGATGCATCTCACATTAAGTCTCCAAGTGGAAACCACACCAGAAATAAGAAGCCTTGATAGTAACGGTTTCTGAAGGAAAACAATTTACTGCCGACATGCACCAGAATAAATCATTTAAATTGGAATTAAGAGTCAAGTTAAAGGACATGGTAAAAGTCTGAAGTCAGAGCATAAAGAATGCAATAGAAAATACCCTTGTTCTTGTTTGCATTGCAGGGTAGTTACATCCGTATCAGTAGGAAATAAAGAAACAAGGCAAGAAAAGTGGTTTAGGGCAGCAGAGCACCATTTAGAAAAGCTCCTGCCCAAGACAAGCTAAAGCTGACCAATAATAAATCTGCATTTTCACTACTGGTGTATATTGATATTACTCAATGGCAGAGAGATGAAATGAGGCTGGATTAGAGCAAACTTCTACATAAAGGCAGTGATGTTATCAAGCTTGCTTCTAACTGCAGTACTTTAGCAAGGTCCATATAGAGAATTAATTTTGTGGCAATTTAAACAAACGCACATCTTCTTGGGGTAAAATAGCTATCAAGAGCACTTATTTTCTCTTTGATCTACCCTCCACAGTTTTGATAATCCAAGCAAAATAAGAGTGTATGCTTGAGGTAAAGAAGCACTTGAATATTTTTCATGGGAACATACACACTAAGGAGTAAGTCTGTGATACTGTGATCTGTGGATACTGTGTCCAGAATGACAAGAAGGATGTTTTTGATACTACAAGCTGCAATATTGCATATTACATTATTTTGTTTTCATCTGCCTTTGCTTTATAAAGAGAGAAAATTTTTACTGGCATTGTCACTTCTTAAACCTGACACATAGTATCTGACCCACAGATTTCCTTCTCCTCCACTTAACCCTATCAGCCAACTTATTCATAATGACTAGAAATAATGTAACATTTAGGCCATACACTGCACTATTGTTGTATTGAAGAAAATAAGCAAAAAACCACTATGATTAATATAAAACACATCCCTAAGATATCCTCCGCTGCCCATGTATGGGTGGGGAGAACAGATACCAC